GGTGTATGTATCAAAGATTACTTTAAATTCTTACTTATACAAGGCTAAATATCCATTTAAATCTTTGCTATTACAATAAAATTTGTTTATTGCATTAACTCGTGACATAGAACACTCAGACTTCCTAGCAGTGAAAATTGTGATTGATATGAAGTCATGAAATATAAACAATTTTGAATCTTTTTGTTTTTTCGCTTTAAAATGTAGTATGTGAACTCTTTGTTGAAAACTCTGCATTTATGTTTGCTAGTAGTACTATCTGCAAATTACTTGGGTTTAATTCCCTGAAAATTGACATGATACATGAATATGAATTTTCTTGTAATATTTTTTATCCATTTATTATGTATAATAAATCAGCATTATTTAGTGGGAATTCCTACTTCAAGGGGTTGTAAGTTCAATTCATCACCCCCATCTTGTAATATGACATCATTATAAATTATTCAGTTGAAATAGTTTCCAGAATTTTAGTAGTTGTATGGTTTATTGTGGTTTATCAAGTGTTTGCTTTTATTTTTAGATTACTTATTTTATTCAGAAATAGTTATCACGTAGACTGCATATGATGAACCTTTTATTTAGCAAGTGGTTTTAATTAATTGTACCAGCCAAATATTATACAATTATGTAGAGGTAATAGCAGGAAAACAAGGTAGATGTTAAAGAGGAAAGAATGGATATCGAGTGATTATCAGGATACTTAGACTTATGTTATAAGTATGATATGCAGACCATTGCAACTGTCTGTATGTTCCTTGCTGGGAAGGTTGAAGAGACGCCTCGCCCACTAAAGGATGTAATCATTGTATCTTATGAGATTATTCACATGAAAAATCCTGGTGCTGCCCAGAGGATCAAGCAGAAGGTTGTCTCTTACTGATGTTGAAAACATGTTAATTTGTTTGCTACTTAAGTGAAAGTTACCAATCAAGTTGCCCGTCTTCCTAATATGTCTGTGTTCTCTCTCTCTCTCTATCTCTTCCACACGTGCACACACACATTTCATTTTTTTTAATTATGATTGCGCTAAATATTGCAGTTTCACTTTTTTCTAATTGATCTCTTTTTTAATCATGTAGGAAGTTTATGAGCAACAGAAGGAGTTAATTTTACTTGGTGAGAGGGTTGTGCTTGCAACCTTAGCTTTTGACCTGAATATTCATCACCCTTACAAGCCACTTGTTGAAGCAATAAAAAAATTTAAGGTTGCCCAGAACGCATTAGCTCAAGTCGCATGGAATTTCGTCAACGATGGGTAAGATCAAGAAGCTATTTGTTTGTCCATGATTCTTGTAGTTCTATTAGATAGCCTCTCCTCTTATTCACTCTTCTGAGATGCATTATAAAAACTCCGACACTGATTCTTTGGGCAGGTTGAGAACATCACTCTGTCTGCAGTTTAAACCCCATCACATTGCAGCAGGTGCCATTTTTCTTGCTGCCAAGTTTCTTAAAGTGAAGCTTCCATCGGATGGTGAGAAGGTTTGGTGGCAAGAATTTGACGTGACCCCTCGCCAATTGGAGGGTTGGTGTCCCTTCATTTTGTCAATTGAGATAATCTCTGACCAAAATTGTCAGCCTTTGCCGTTTGTGGCTCTGATCTTTGTAATTCTCGCCCCTTAGAATTGTAAAAAAAAAAAAACAACCTGAACCAGATGATTTTCGATATTCACATATAATTCCTTGAATGCTGTGAAGAATGATCAAGAATGTGATATATACTATCATCTGGTACGGGTCATAGATTTTCCCGATTAATAGTAGCATCTACGATAATATAGCTGTTTCCGACTGAGCTGTTTCTTTGAAGTCATTGAGTTCAACAACTGGAAAATTTAATTAATTATTTTAATCATTTTATCTGTATTTGTTGCAGAGGTTAGCAATCAAATGCTAGAACTATATGAGCAAAATCGGGTGCAACCAGCTCAGGGAAGTGAAGTCGATGGAAGTACTGGTGGCGGTCCGAGTCATCATAATGTAGCAAAACCTACAGGTGAAATTGAGGAACAGACTTCAAAGCAAGTATCCTCTTGTTCGGCACCTGACCATTCATATGCAGACAATCATGGGGTACCTCAAAGAGCTGTCCAGAATCTTGGTAAGAACAATGGGACCGCTGTAGAGGGGGGAAGTGCCTTTACTTGTCACAAGGTGGACCCAATAGATAATCATCAAAATGATGAATTGCCTTACAAGGAGAGCAGCAGAGATATTTCAGACAGAACAAGGTCTGTAGTAGAGCATGCTGGAGAAGAGAAAGAAAAAAACAGTAGTAGAAGTGAGACTGCGGAAGCTGGAGAATGGAGGGATGATGGTGTATCTCACAAGTCTAGCAGTCTAGTTGGTCGAAATGTTGAGGTTCGGGAAGGTCCAGTCAGGCAGTCGCCCAAAGCTATCAAAATGATCGATAGAGACAAGGTTAAGGCAGCACTTGAGAAAAGAAGAAAATCACGTGGAGAGATGTCCAAGAAGAAAGATGTGATGGATGAAGATGATCTCATAGAGAGAGAGCTGGAAGATGGTATAGAATTGGCGGCAGAGGACGAGAAAAACAGGCGGGAACGGGGTCAAAGCTGGTCTAAGGTCGATAACCAAGATGATGGAAAGGTTTATGAGGAATCTTTAAGTGAACATCATGCAGGAACCAAGAGCCACACTTCGTGGGGGACCAAAGTAGAGAATATAGTTGAAGAAGGGGAGATGCTAGATGATGCCTCCCCAGCTTTGAATAGCCGCAAGAGAAAAGCTGGAAGATCACCTGATTGGCACTCTGACGGAAAGAAGTGGAACGATTCTCTGTCTAATAACCATCACCATGCTGTGGAAGATGGAAACCGCAAGAATCGCTCCGTTTACGCAGATAGGGAGCTCAAAAGACATGCCCATGAGAATCACTATTAAACTCGATTGCAAGGATCCAGTTCTGTTATATTGTAGCCATCGCATGTGTAACCTGGGTAGTTCAAGTACTGAAGCAGTGAGAAGTATACCAATTCCGTGGAACATATGTCATCACGAACAATACAAACTGTCGATGGAATGCTTCACCTGCTAAACCTAGGAACTGGAGTATTTACCACTTGAAGAAGGTGAGTGTTTACTTCAGGACATTGTAAAGCTCATATTCTTGGCCGAGATCAAGAATTCGAGCATGGACGTAAGCTTGCTCTTGCTTCCGCTATTTTTCACGCAAGGAAGCCATGAGGACTGTTCTTTTGATCGTAATTAACATTATGTTTTTACTGTACTCTAGGATCATTGTGTTACGCTTTTTGTTGCCAGTTATAAGTGTCATTTGGTTTAAAGTACTTGTTTTTCGTAGTTCGACATGTAATTTTGGTCTAGGATTCAAATGTATCTCAGTCAGTAGAGCTTTTAGCCAGACTATTACCCAAAATCAGGAGGGGAGAAACTGTAATGCATGCTCTGGGAATTTCCCATTTTGTGATTCTTTTGGTGATGGTAACTGTATAAACTCAACAGGCAAGTTTTGTGTTTTAAAATTATTAGAATGGTTGCCTTATAATAAGCAAGATTTACTCTGATTCTGGTCATATATATCTGAAAGTAACATTTTTTATATACTTTTAAGTATGTCTTTCTGGATTGTGCCTAGTTTTAATATTTGATCCTTGTGACTGAATGAAATTCAATAGCCTCTATGAATTTGTTGGTTTTTTTTTTTCGTTTTTTTTTTTTGTTATTTGACAATCGAATTAGTAATATGTTAGGAGAAGTTTGTACAAGAAGTCGTGGATATACTTTTGGATAACAAAATCATTGGACAACCAATGAGGGATGACCGTAATAAGGTTTACAAGTCGTTCTCCGATGTAGTTGAAGGCAAAGAGGGAAGATTTTGGAAAACTCTGCTTGGCAAACGGGTCGATTATTCAAGACGTTTTGTGATTGTTGTAGATAACTCACTTTTATTACATCAATGTGGATTGCCTCGCGAAATCGCAGAGCGGGCTTTTCTAGAGATTTTAAATTCGTGGTCTAATTTGACAACATTTTGCTTCAAATATAGGAGTTGCTAAGATTAAAACTTGGGGAAAAAACCCCTTGTATAAGTTAGGTCCATCCAGTATTACTAAATAGAGCGCCCACTTTACATAAGCGTCCCGGCCTTCCAACCTATTTTAGTAGGACGTGCTATTTATTTATATCCATTAGTTTGTAAGGGATTCAATGCCGACTTCGATGGAATCATTCATGTTCCGTGGATGGCTAGGTAAGCTATTACTTTTTGCTACATACAATGTAGCGTAAGGCAATGGAAACATTTTGGTTATTATTCAACTTGTACTATAGCATGACTAATCTAAAAATTGAAAATTTATCTTAAAAAGAAAAAAAAATATATTAACCTTCTAAATTTTGCTTCAATTAAAACCTTAAATTTTTATAACCGAATTTGTTTAACATTTTGTTTTGAAATTGTTAATAATTGTTAATGTATAACTCCGAGAGATGTCTATGGAACGAAGAAGCTTTCCTCATCCCATCTCTGCCATCTGTTTTATTCCTATTATTGAGAAACTTCCTATTTATTTTAGCTCGTAAATTTCTTTAAATGCATTTGATTAAATTAAACTAAAAAAATAATAGACCGTAATTATTTTTCATTAATGTAAGTATTTTCTTTATCTTTTAGTCTTTCTCAAATTTTTTCTAACGAAATTAAATAAAAACCGCTCTAAATCATTGACATGAAATCCTTTAAGATTTTGATTGAGACAGATTATTATTTTAAAATTTGAAAAACATAAATGGATATTTGTCATCCATTTACAATTTTTTAAAATTATAATAAGAAAAAAGGAGCAATGAAATTGAAGTGTTGAGGTGGGCTAATCTCTTATCCAAGATAGAAGGAAGAGAGAATCAGAAACAAAACCTCAGCCAATCACAACTCTCCAACTCAGCTTCCTTATTCTTCTCATCTTATCCAAAACCTCTCTCTCTCCGCCACTAATCTCATCCCCTCTGAATCTAAAACCGTTCCCTCCACACTCTTTCCCCAAAATCTCTTCCTCTTTCTGCTTCCGCCATTTCCAATCCTTCAAACCCACAAGAGATTCACCGCCTAATCCCTTCACAATGTCTCTCACAATCCCCACAAACCTCTCTAAACCCCTTTTGAAGCCCAAATTCAGCTCCTCATTGGCCTCAAAATCAAGACCCTCTTCCTCAATCCTCTGCTCCGCCACCCAAAATCAAAATGAAACCGCTTCCTCCTCCCTGCAGGCTTTCTCCGCCGCCTTAGCCCTCTCCTCCATCCTCCTCTCCGCTCCTCTCCCTGCTGTCGCAGACATCGCCGGTCTCACCCCCTGCAAGGATTCCAAGCAATTTGCCAAGCGAGAGAAGCAGCAAATCAAGAAATTGGAATCCTCTTTGAAGAATTACGCTCCCGACAGTGCCCCGGCGCTGGCGATCCAAGCTTCGGTCGAGAAGACGAAGAGACGGTTCGCTTTCTATGGAAAGCAGGGGCTTCTTTGTGGGGCTGATGGGTTGCCTCATTTGATTGTGAGTGGCGACCAGAGGCATTGGGGTGAGTTTATAACTCCTGGGTTCTTGTTCCTTTACATTGCTGGGTGGATTGGATGGGTTGGAAGAAGCTATTTGATTGCTATTAGAGATGATAAGAAGCCTACCCAGAAGGAGATTATCATTGATGTTCCTTTGGCTACTAGCTTGGTGTTCAGAGGCTTTAGCTGGCCTATTGCTGCTTACAGAGAGCTTGTCAATGGCGAACTCATTGCCAAGGATGTCTAATTCTCATCCGACAGGTATTGCTTCTTTGGCTCAAAGTCTTTTGTGTTATGAGCTATGTTGTTTATGTTCTTTGCCAATGTTCTTATTTGTTTCATGTTGCTTTGTTGTGGTTGTGACAGAGACAGGGAAAGTGGAAGATAGATTGACTTTTGGGATTGGGGTTGGTGAAATATGTGTATTTCATTTGGGAACTTGAGATGAGTTTATGCAATGGTTGGTTGTATTTTGTTCACTACTTCCCCATTCTTTGCATTGGTTCTTTTCATTTGGGAACATTATGTGTTTATAGTTGCAATGTTTCTCTTATTAGACATCTTATTGGATAAATAGACTTAAGCTATAGTCTTCCACTCTGTAAGCTAATCCTAATCGAGTGGTTCATTAGAGAATTATTGGGACCGAAGATATGAATTTTAATTATAGGGACACAACAAACTTTTGAATGGATTATAATTACGAACAACTCGTAAATAATCAACTTGCATGAAATGATTATATCCATGGATATAACTTGCCAAACATAATTAGGGACAGAGATACGTAGTAAACCGTATCACCATGACCAAGAGGGCAGATAAGTTCGACATTGTTGTAACAAATACGCTACCCATCTTTGGTCATCTAGCAATCAATTTATTTTACTTCGAATTTGCACACTCCATCACGGAGGGATTTGTTGAGCAAGCTCAGTTAGATTTAGAGCTTTTGGAGTATATACTTCTTTAACCCTAAGGTAACCCTAATCTTCGGCCCAATGATCAAAGCTTTTGTTGAAACAAGAACCTTTGAATCAAAGAAATTAACGTCTCTTATACAAAAATTGGATCAACCAAGGGAGAAGGCTAGAATGAGATTACTTGTTAAAATCAAAGATTTAGGAGCAAAATTTGTAACATTGTTCTAAATTGGGTTACTCCACCATCGAACTTAATCAAAGTTTCATTAAATGGCTAAGATCAATCTACCACAAGAATTGCATGAAACTTAGAAATGACAAAAATAATGCTCAATGGTGGACCATGAAACATGTCAAGCCTACCTCGTAGACTAAGTCTACAAAATTTATAGCCTAGAGCTCCAATACCAATTATAACGACCTTAATTTTCTATTAAAATAGGGTTGCTAACGTCTGCATGACATAAAACATAAAACAGTTTCATATGCCATGAAATTGTACATTTGCATAGAGTCTTAAAATAAAACAAAAAAAATATTTAAAATAAATAAATAAACCACCAAAGGAAAATATTAAAACCGTGTATCAAACTAAGATCTACCAAATAAATGCAACTACTCTACTCAATCCATGGTCTATAATGTGAAACCTCCGTCAACGGTACATGGGTGTCTTGCCTTTAGTTGAAATATAAGAATATAAAACTTGAGAAATACTCAATAAGTGACCCAATATTGGAGTCAAGGAAGGTAAACACATGCAACATGAATGTGACATATTATTTAAAATCATATTCTCTTAGATGACCTCTAGTTGAGACAAATTGGATGTGTAGTACTTCTCTACATATGATCCACACATGCAAGCATGGGCCCACTAGGCGGGCTCACACACCCCTTAGGCCTGCTTATTGGACTTGCTCCTCTAGGCTATAGCTGAGTGCCCACAGTACAACGACCGTCATACACTATGTCAAGTGTCACAATCGCGGTTTCTAGGCAGCGCATTGGCGATTGTGCGGCACCCACTCTCAGCACTGAGTGAGTCAAGCCTACTTCGAGTATCGTTGCCTGCGGTCGAGCAACGTGAATACAAACCTCGAGTCTCGATTTCAAGAGAAGATTTTAGAGAACAGGGGAGAGAGGCTTTAGAAAAAACGTTTTGAAAGCAAGAGAAAGAAATTGAGATTGGTTTTATATGGGAATGTGGGCAAAAGACAACAACAACGGCTTACTGCATATAGCTATCAAGTAGGGAGAAGTTGACAACTAGTCATATCCCCCCATAGTACATTTTGAGGCATTTCTTGTCTACTAGACGTAGCCATGACATCGCCGAAACGTCATACTCTTAAAGAAAACAAGAAAGAAATAAACAACATGAAAGCGGTAAAAGAAAGCAATAAAGTAGTACAAGGCAAAGGTTTCGGTGTGTCACGGGCATGCGGCCATGGGCAACATGCCTTGAACAAGCATGACCGTGACACCAAGCATATTGATCATCTCGTTCTTATAGTATAAACTTCCCTACACACAAAGAGGAAGTATCTTGATGTGTAAACATACAATTATGCATAAGATCCCTATACTTTTCATTTTAAACAAATCATGTAGTATAACCTCATTAATTCCTCACATATTTCCCTAACCAACATGCATTCATAACATTACTTAGGGGTTGTGCATCATAAAACTTCTCATTTTCATACATATCTTAACATGTCATACATTTCATTGCCAAACATATTCATGTTATAGTACAACATGACATCTCGTAACGTAACATATCATCATAACATAACATATCGTCATAACATATCATATCAAACATAACAATCATACATAAGAATCATATCAAACAAATGACATGTGCAGGGGCCACTAGGCTATGTCATCATACATAAGACAACTCTTTCGATTATGCCGATAGTAATGTCACTTACTTTGTTAGTCTAAACCGAAACTACTACGACCCCTTGATGCTAGCTCAACGTTGCTCTCTGAAATTTAATTCTGCCTTACGACTCATATATTAGAAATTTTACCATGAGAATTGGCTCACCTAACTTTGCATAAAATATTTTGAACTTACCCCAAATAATTTAAACTAGCTAAAAGATAGACCTACTAACCTCAAACCCTTCCGAAGGGTTGAAATTAGCTGGAAAGAGCTTGAGCGTATTAGACCCAAGCCAGATAAGCAGAAATGCCAGCTTAGAGCCATCAAAAAATGTATGGCTTCAACCCATCCAAGTGGGATGAAAGAAAGCAAGGAACCTCCATTTTACGTGGACCCAAACTCCCAACTTTTCAACATAAGCAACCTGAGACAACTTCCCTCTTTTTCTTTTTTTTTTTTTTTTTTTTTTTTTTTTGGGGGGGGGATTATCACACAGTATTCCATGATTCTGTCACAATTAAATCATCATACCCCATGTTAACTTGAAACAAAAAGGACACCAATGAGACCAAAAAGATTCTAGCTAACGAAGTTAGAAAAGTTGGAAAGCCGGTACGAAGAGTTTGAGAGTTCATTTGACAATGGAACATCTTCATCGTGGAAGAAACAAGCTTGAAACGAGTAGAATACTTGAAATCAGCTGCGATTCACATTACTTAATTTAAGCATAATCGATTGACAAGGACTAATTAAATGGGGAAGGATGTTTGTATGTGTATTAGTTCAAGCCACTTTTGATATTCAAGCCTGCCAAAAACTATTTGCCTTACTATAAAGAGAATAAACCGTCATCAAATCTCTACTAGCGAAGTGTCTCTTACCTATTTAACACTATGATACTTTTTTCAAAATGTATCTTCAAAATATTTTAATCTCATTTTCGAAATGTTAACGAAATGTGAACCAAAGCTAAGGACTACATTGAAATTATCTACGAAGCCAGATTTTCATATAGCTGTCTTACTCCTTGAACTCTTTGGATGAGAACAAGAACAAGCGATAAACAATCTCTATCATACTATCAAAAGAGTGCAATTGTGATAAATAGCACATAGATTATCAAATACTATAGACGAATTATGAGATCCAACCATCGAACATAGAAAGTCGCTTGTGTATAAAATTTGTACATTATAAAGTTATATAATACATTACACAGTACATTACACGTGTCTCCTTAGATATACATTACATCCTTTTATCATGTGTATCCCTTGAAAGACTTGCACTCCAAATTTATTTCCTATGCCTACATACATCAAATACTTGCATTCAACCCACTTCTATTTTCTGATGAGATGATCATATACTTCGAAATACTTATGCATCAAAATAAATTTCCACTAGAACCGATCACCTTCACGGAGGCCGTTAGTCTGCCTGTCCAGCACTGGGGCTCGAGTATTCAATTTCGCTATCAGAGGATGACTCAACATTGGATGATACAGACGACTCAACGTTGGTTACAGCTGATGGCTCCAGAATTGTGTTGGTGTGATTTGAATATAGTATCTGACTCCTGAAACTCCGGGAGTTCGCTGATGGAGGTGAGGATCTAGATGCTTGAGAAATTGTATGTCTATGAGCTTGTTCGGCAAGTCTTTTAAGTAGGTTTATAACAGATGGAAGCAACTGAGATGAAATGGAAAGAAGTCCGGCCAACTGCTCGAAAATGCGAGAAGCAGAGGCCAAAATCAGCACAATCATAACCAAAAAGAATTTCAAACCAAGTGATGTATGCAAATGAAAAAAAAAACCGGTGTATGGTTGAGAATCACGACTCTCCACAATGGTATGATATTGTCCACTTTGAACATAAGCTCTCATGACTTTGTTTTGGGCTTTCCCAAAGAGCCTCATACCAATGGAGATGTATTCCTTACTTATAAACTCATTATGATTCTCTAAATTAGCCAATGTGGACTCCCAACCATTATTTAATTGACTACAGAATTTCACAACAAAAATGATCTGAAAAACAATGAACCATGACTCATAGCACTTTCTATGCAAGATTAAGAGTCACTTGCATGCTTTTGTATGGGTTGTTAGGATCACACAACAACGCGCACTCGATCTAGATGAACACAAAGAAATAGGAGAGCGAAAAATGCAGGAGAACTCTGGCTAAAGAATTTGTATTGATGAGTATGTATAAGAGAGAATACAGAGAATAGAAAGTACATCTTCAAAGCTCTACCTGAGAATATATATATGGTTCAGTTTCCTGTATATAGTTTAACCAGATTTAATCATCTACTGTATATAGCTATTTACAGTATATAGCTTTAAGATATAGCTTACGGGATATAGCTTTACGGGATATAACCGTTGGCCAAGCTATAAATAAGAGAGTAGGCTCCATAACTTTAACATGTATAGAAACTTATAGGGAAAACCATGAAGTATTTAGCTTATTACTTACAGTCCCACTTTGGAACGCCCTCCCTACGTCCATCTGAATCCATAGGGCCTTTGAGAGTAGATATACCACAAATATAACAACAAGGTAGAGTGGATTCCTGTTGCATTTAATATTATTAACAGAAAGAAAAGTAAAAATAATTTACTGACATGGCATCAATTCTCATGTAAAACTTGGAACTAAAGATGATATAATCCTTCTCATACCTTAATAGAAGCATAATCTCATTGAAGCCGAGAATAAAC